GAAAGCGTGGTTTGCCGGAAACCGGTTTTTCAAGCAAACCTTTACGTGACAGTGCTGGCACGATGCGGTGTTGGAAGAGGTTTATTGCTCCTTGCACCACCTGAAACCTTCCCGAAGCGCTATTAGCTGCTAAAACATCATCTTATGGGCATAAAATTATGTTTCAACTCGTTCTTTGTTGAAATTTTTGGCGTGTAGGTATGCTGCAATGGCAGCGGCAGCTTCTTGTTGATCCCCATATTTCTAAAGATGGAAGCAGCTCTTTGGATCTCGTCATGGATAATCCATTGTCACAAAAACCAGGTTAGAATTAGCATTTTTTTCTTTCTCATTCCTCTCTGCAGCTTAATGGCAGCTACCAGTTTGTGTTCATAGTTCTCGTTTTCTTTGATTAAAATTAATTCATTTTATAAGCTTATGCATTCAAATTGAGTGTTCATTTATTGTTGATCTTATATTTGGGTTTTGAACCAACATTAACTGGCTGTAAGGGTTTCTACTGATGGCATTTGTGATTTATATAGGTAGCATGTGGAGTCGCTTCTTCAAGAATGCTGAAATAGAGAGAATGGTGAACCAAGATTTGACGCATTTATATCCTGAACATGGCAGTTACTTCTCGAAGAGCTATTAGCTGCTAAAACATCATCTTTTGGGCATAAAATTATGTGAATCAGGATGGGGCAAGTTAGAACTCCACACAAGAAGATATTGGTGTATTTTGGTTCTCCAAAGAATTACTTTCCTATTTTAAAAAAATATGTAGCAAAAAAGAGCCCCTAACCAAAGGATTAGATGGAAGCAATTTCCAGCTTCATTATGAACAAAGCAACAACCTCCCAAGATTCCATTTCTTGGAAAAAAGTGTGCAAAACCAACTCTAGTCGCACGAGTCAACCCTTAGAAGTCTCCGCAAATCTCAGCCCCCTATTAATGAGCAAAAACCAACATGGCTGAGAATCCAAAGAACCAATTTTGCTTCATGATCGCGTAGTACTCCACCAGCCGCCACTCCACCAATTGCTAAGTCTAGAGCACCAAAATGTTGACTTCAATCATGCCAGACAGATGTGGGTTCCAAACTAAATATGTAGATGAAGTTATAAGGTGCGTTTCCACTTTGCCTCCTAAAACCTTTGTTGCACCAAGCAATTTCCTTAAAGCAGCCCGTATGATTCTTATTAGCTCCAGTCCTCGTATTGCAAACAACTCCTCGTTCTTAAGCCCAAAGTATCAAAAAGACAGTTACAAACCAAACATTCCAAAGGATTCCATCCTGCAAAATAGAAAAGGATAAGTTAGAATGAAACCTTTTTTACAAATCCTGTATTACCCAAAAATCAGCTCCCATTAAAAGGGTTGATATTGTTAAATGTTAATAGTATATTAATGAAATTTTTGGACGGAATTTTGTTTCCACTTCACAAGATGCCTTGTTCTAATTAGAACCAACAACCGCAAGAGTAGTCGTTTGGCTGATCTTTGCATGTAGCAGCATAATCATACACAATTTTCATTTATATTGAACTCGAGTGAAAGAAAAGATCAGAGAAGAAGTTATCAGGCAATGTGCGCTGAGTATTCGTTCATATGTCATATTTCTGCACACAATAGAATGTTCATTAGCGATCGTAGTGTGATTTTTATGGAATCCATGCCCTAAAAAATTTTCCCAGCTACACATTCCGTATAGTGCGACTCTGGCCATGTTGGTTCGAGTGCAACAGAATATGCATCCAGTAAAGCAGGTTCACCATTATTGATTAGTTAGATGTAAAGCACAACCTCCAAGATAAATCAAACTCGAGATCAGTAGGAATGACTTATCACATATTGAGCAATCCTACAACCAGAAACCAATCGAGGCTAACACTTACATATCCTTGTTTTATCACATTCTCATCACCATGTTTTTAACAAACATTGACTTAATTTTCTGCTCAAATCCGCAACCCTTATCATTACAATAACTTCCCAAATATAATAGTAATTAAGAGCAGGAAGAAGTAGCGCAACATGAACATCAACAATATGGCGGCTAATTCAGACTCCAAGAAAAATTTCACAATCTTTTTCAAAACTTTAAGAACAAACTGTGGAGTAGAAAAACATGCAGAATCAGACCTAACTTAGAAAAACAAAAAATTTTATCAGAACAATACAAATAATAAAAAGAAATGGACATCAGTTTTACCAAAGCAGCGGCACATTGACTACGGTAGCAGATTGCTGTTGGGGTGCAAAGATGACAATCCGATGATAATTTGCTCCCATCATAAAAAATGCAATACGAATCTCGCGCCGCTCTCCAGTTGTTCTTTTTAAGTTTCCCTGTATTTTGATGCAATTAAGCAAGCATTTTGGCACTTTGCAACAATTGAGTCCTTAGGAACTTATAAATACCTTGGAGTCGAATTAGTGATGAACGAATTGATGTCTACCTTATAGAATCAGTGTGAAGAGTTTCAAGACAAACAACATGAATTTATTTTCCCATAAATGGGGGGTTTGTAGACGTTCAACAAATGGATGATAGGAAAGACAGAAAGCAACTGATCCAATCTTCTTCCTGAATTCATCTTTTCCAAATCCATCTTGAACTCTTCAAAAGAAACTACCATTCTCCTCTGAAAATTGAAGTTTGGGACATAAATCTCTTCTTTGAAGGTCAAGAAGAAAGGAGCGAATGGAAATTGGAATTTGTGATTGGAATAGCTTCTTCGGAAGTTAAGAAGAAAGGCGCGGAGGGGGGAGGGAGAACTGAGCAACAGAGTGCCGATTTGATTTTTCTAAGGATTTGTAGGGATTTATTAGTTGATGAGAATCTGTTTGTTTGAGATTTAGACGATGCGGTTGTTATCTACGCCAATTTACCGGAGTTTATTATTATTATTTTTTTGTGTGCGTACATATTGATTTTGGAATTTATTTTAGTTTTTCTTTTACTAAAAAAACTAGATGTAACTCATCCGATGGACGGGAAAAAAAAATTGACAAGAAAACAAATTGTAAATATTGAAAATAAAAGTAAATTGTACGACTATAAATCCTTCTGTATTCTTTATATGCTATATTGATTGTTTTGTTATTCATCTCTCCATTTTCACCGCATATTAAAACTTAAGTCTTTTATGTAGATTTGGACAGAGTAACATATAATTGATGAGGGTCGAAAATGAGACGTGGTAGATACAATCGAACTTAAAAAATGGACAATCACTAACTCTTCTTAATTGTCATTGCAAAAATCAAATGTAAATTAGAACTTGTCTTTTTTCATTTTGAATGAAAATTGTCGGAGAGGCACAAAGGCATGCGGGGAATGTATACATCTTCTTCGATGTAGCTACCCGAGATAACCTTTGCCTCAATGACATGTTGTTCCAACCCTAATATTACTTAAAACATCATCATGACCATGTTATTTATGGTCTTGACATCAACAACACCATAGTTTGTATTTTATGTAAATAAAAAAATTTAAGTTCAATAATATCAAAATTTGTATATTCTGAATTTAATTAGTTTTCATCGATAGAGTGTATATATATACAAGATATGAATTTTATAAATTTTTCTGTCTTAAATTTTTGAAATAGTTAAATTCTTGTATTCTAATACAAATAATTCAAAATTACTATATTTTTTTATAAACTATTTACTCTTTGCTAATTGATGTGCCTTAGTCATTGTTACAACAATTTCAATTATTTTAGCTAACTCCTGGCAATTGAGGTTTCTTGGTTCTTTCCACTAAGGTAATATAATCATGTGTACCACCCATTAATATACCTTAGTCATTGTAAGAGTATTCTTTTAACTTTTTACCAGATGTCCCTATTAACTGAATTGCCTTAGTTATATCGGTTGAGGTGCCTTAGTCACTGTGAGAACAATTTTAAATCTTTATCGAATGTCTTCCTCCCAGGTGAGATGCTTTTGTCACTGTTACTACTTCAATGCAGTAAAAAAAAATCACTTAATCCAAAACGTGAAAATAAAATCATTATCAAATATTCAAGTTATGAAACCTTCTCGATTAGATGGACATGCATAAATAATATTTCTATATTCAAAAGTTTCAGAAAAAAAAATTAATGATGTGTTTAAATTATTAAATGGAATTTTTTTTCTTACTTTCAGTTTTGGAAAATTATTAGTCACCAAAAGGTGGCATAATCTTCTACATTACGATCCTACAAACAACCTAAATCATCATATAAAACTTGTCATATTTTCTATTTAATTATTACTTTCTTGTTTTAAAAAATATAACTAACACCTTAACTCACTATTGGATGAACTAGTCGGGGTCATGTGTCAAAATCTTGACAAATGATGCAGAAAGTGATATAAGATTACGATGTAGGAAATCTTTTGTCCAAAGAAAGTATGTTAAGAATTATTATCAACAACAAATATTAACCAGTTAATAAATACTGGAAAGAATAATGAAAAATGAACCAATTAACAAAAATTAAACTTTCCAAAATCAGAACGGTAAAAAATATCACAATTATAGAAACAAACCGTAAATTACATACACATCTAAACTTTATTAGTTTTGCTCTTTTTTGCCCCCAAATCCGAAGTTTCTTAATTAGTATTTAATGAGGATTTATGTAAATATAAACATAGTTAATTTTAAAAAATAGATCAATAAAAATTGACAAATGCATAGACATTTAACTTTATTAGTTTTGCTCTCTCTTTTCCACTTGAATGCAAAGTTTCTAAATTTTACGGATGATTTAAGTAAATATAAAAAAACAGTTTAGAGAAATATTAAAAAAAAATTTATTTTTTTTAATGGGAGTTCAAGCATGAAGAAACAATCTGCAGAACATTATTTACTTCAGTGAAAAAATGTAATTGTCCAAGAATCTTTTAGTAAGTGCACCTAGATGGAGTCCTGCCATTTAGTCTGCGACTCCAAAGGGTTTACCTTTAAATTTAAACTTAACATGACAAAATTAAAACTGTATATGCAAGATTAATATATGGAGTATTTACCTGCTCATATATATGAAAGCAACTGCTCCGAGTGTCCATATGTAGGTCTTCACAAGTTGAGAATTAGGACGTGGATCTTCGAAATTGATTTCACCCTCAGTTGGGTGAACTCCTTCATTTCTGTGAGTGCTTGTAACACTCCAGAGTTCAGCATGGATGCAAACTTAAAAATGGTCGATGATGAGATGGTAAAAAATAATTAATTTAACCAATAGTGAAGTACTCTTACCTACTGAGGATACTGATATATTCTTGCAAAGTCTCGGCACCAGTAGCACAAAGTCAGTAGACATGTGACCTCTGATTTCTGTGAGTGCTAAATTATGTTTAAAAATTGAGGTTCATTTGATCTCTGATTATCTCATTTGATTTCAATATTACAAATCATCAAAGCTGGTGAATGATTTAAATTCAAAGTGTTAGTTATTATTTATTGATTGGATTGTAATCTTCTCTCAGGATAAGTTATGATTCGGATTAAAATATTTTCACTATAATTCAAGATTTTGTAGTTGTAGAGAAGTATATTAAAGATGGGAGACTTAGTTTTGGGATCATTTAAAATAGATTCTGTCATTTGATTTGTTTAACTGACGATAAAACCTCTTTTTTTTTTTTCCTTTTTAATAAATCAAAAAATAGAGAAAATTGTCAGTCATACGTAGCAAGTGGAAAACTATCTCAGTTTCTTCTCTCTGAGTTTTCTATTATTAAGTTATATAGATATAGAAATTGCCACATAGGATTATGGAAAATTTGATATAGGTTTTCTCTCTCTGGTTTTTACTTTATATATATATATATATATATACACTCTCAGTTTCATAATTATTGTCCAGTTTGGATTTTTATTTCTAGTTAAAATTGTACTAAATTGTACTAAAAGTAAAATATCAAATTGGACAATAATTTTGAGACAGAGTGAGTAATAATTTTATGATACATTTTTAACATTTTCCGTATAACATTTTACATTTGAGATAGAAAAGATACATATTGAAAAAATGTCCCAAACAAACAGAGACGAATATAGCGTAACTTAAAAGCAGGGTTGTAAGTCCCGCACGCCAGAAATTTTTTCACACTTTTCAGAAACAACACGTGCGAAACAGAAGAGTTGACCAAAGGCAAAGCAACTTGCTGACAAGAGATGAGGGCCCCAGTTCAAACCGAGTGTTTCCCCAAATCTCACAATTTGTCGACTTCTTAGTTTTTACTTTTTACCTCTATCTCTGCTGCTGACTTTAGCTTTTCAGAAGCCATAACGGACAAAATCAATTTTGTCCTTGGAATTTAGCCCCTGTAATTGTTCTTTTGGATTTGAGCGTTTTCTGCAGTAGTGAATCTTCATATACTTTTTCTCTGCTTTTGTTTCCGTTCATTCATTTCACACCATCTTTTTTTTGTATTGGTGTTCTTGGCCGTTTCTTGATTCTTCATTCCCATAAAGACTCCAATTTTCCGTCAAACTGTGGCTGCTGGTTGATTTGAAATTTCAAACCCTTTTTTTTCCCCTCTATATCATCCTCATCTCTGAAGTCTAAAGCATCTGCGAGGAAAAATAACAAGTGGGGTTTCTTATTTTAAGTAAAATAGTTTGATTTTGTTCTGTTTCTGGGCGACTCTGTTTCTGTTCTTGGGTTTTGGTTGTGAATTGAAAAAGGGTTTTTTTTTTTTTTTTTTGTTTGGGGTTTTTTGCAGTGTATCCCAGAGTTAAGGTGAGGGGACAAGAAGAATATGATGATCAATTTGAATACGGAAAGAGGTCTTTGCAGTCTTTAAAGGTTCCTGAATTTCTGTCTTCAAGTGATTTCTCTTCTCCAGGTAAAACTTTCTAATCAATCTTACTGCTTGATCTTATTGCTTCTTTCTTTTGCTGCTCTTGCCCACGTTTTTTTTTTTAAAAAAAAAAAATTGTCATCGTACTTGTCTCCTGAGTTAAAATGTCATTCTCTGTGAAAGAGGGATTTCATGTTTATTTAGGTTTTTAATCAATATGTTATTCATCTGTTTGAGTGTATGAAAAATTCAAGGATTGGTGGTAGTCTGGTAGATTTAATTGGAAAGTACATGGTGTTTTGAGTTCTTGACTATTTTGTTAATGGATGGTACAGGTACAGTAATGTATCTGTAGTGTACTGAGAAATGTTTGCAGGAGAAAGAATCTAATCTGAGAAGACAAATTCCACAATATATTATCCTGTAATTGAGATCCTTAAATGTTGGTAGCTTTAATGAGTTGAGAACTTGAGATCGAGGCTGCCTGTTTAGTTAGTTTGACCTTCATATTCATTTACTTGTCACTTTCATTTCCTTTCATCTCCATGGGGCATATACCTTCCTGTTGTATCAAGGGCTAACTAAATTATCTTGCTAAATTAATACAGTGACTATAGCTATTAGCGGTAATTTTTGAGGGAATGATAACCAAATCATATTCGAGTATTTCTTGCAAGAACATCATTGTGTTGCCATTTCGGTGCAACTTTATGCTGCAGTTCGTTCATACATATTCTACATCAGTAATTAGTTCATTTAACTGTGTAGACGATTCTCCTACTTCGGTTGTGAGAGTGCCTCAATTGGATAGTTCGTATCCAGGTATTGCCCCGTTTCTCTGCGCTAAAGCATTAGTATTTACTCGCTGTTATATTGAGTGCAAGCCTTTTATAGTTCTCGAATTGATCATCACCATTGGTGTCCTCTTCGCTGATCTACAGGAGCAATGAACGATAGGAAACCAAAAATTTTAGAAGAAAACGGTGCAAGTTTCAAAGCTAATCCGGTTTTTAGACCACGTGCAGTCTTATCCAGTCCAGGTACTTCCATTTATTCAGGCTAAATCTAGTGCCACTAGAAGATTTTGCTGTGAGAAGTCTCTGAAAGATGGGCCCTCAAATGTTAATATTGCTGTAATCAGTGGTTAAGTTTCATTAGCATATGCAAAAGGCCCTGAAATATGTGATTAACCTTTTGGAAGCCCTGAAATATGTGATTAACCTTCTGGAAGCCCTGGAATATGTGATTAACCTGTTGCAAGATAGCAGATTTCACAGTCAAACTAAACTACTCCCTCCGTTCCACAAAAATAGCCACATTGAGTTTTAAGTTTTGTATTGTTTTTAGTTTTTTGGGACGGAGGTAGTAATTCTGATTACATTATGAAAGGCCATGTATAACTGGATTATTCTGAGTTCAGGTTTTTACTGTTGAACTATATTTTGTAACATGATTTGTGCTTGTGAAGTATCATATCTTAAAATGATCTTCAGAAACTGTTGTTTTAAGATTCCATCAAATTTCATCTTACGAACATTTCGAGGTTGTAGAGTTTGTGGCAGTTTTATCATATTAGTAGCATGCTGTGTAATTGTTCAATGCTTTAGGCTGCCCGGCTGAATTTTAAAATGCTGTTTTTTTCTTCAGATAATGATCAAATATTTGGAAGCAAAAACAAAACAAGAGGAGAATCATCTCCTTGCTCCAAAAAGAATGGCTCTATTCCAAGTAGACATACAAAGTGTAAAGTTGTCCGAGGACCTGTTACTGCTGATGGTCCTCTTAATACAAGAACAGATGTTAAAGAAGTGGTCGCTAGGAGAAATATTTTTCAAAGCAAACAAAGGACAGCTACCCCTGATCCAAGCCTGAAAGTCTCGAAAGGAAATCCAAAGCCAATTCAGGATGGAGCACTCAGGAAATCACCAATGACAAAAAGATAACCTTTTGAAGACCAACTTTTCACGCAAGGTGATTGTTTAATGGAAATTCTAACATCCGACAATACCACATTAGGAGAACTGAGAGCGCTGATATATTCCACTAGGTTGAACTTGTTAACTTGTAAACCCATATATGGATACATCATACATGTATTATTTACCTCACTGAGAGTGATGTGTATAAGGTGCTCTAAAACATTGGCTAGAGAGTTGAACTCTAGTGCAATAGAGTACCGATTCCCAAACCTATTTGTGATTGTAATTCTTTGTGCCCAACTGTGAACTTTTTCCGCTGATATTTTGCATGCAATTCTGAATCTCTTCTATAGATGTAATGATTTAACTTTATTGATGAGTTTCTTCGACAGTCAATAGTCCTCGGAACAACAGCCTCCTCAACAGCTAAAACAGCAGTGTTTATAAGCACTGCAACTGCGCATTATAACATAATTTTTTGGAATGTGTTATGGGCAAATTAAGGAACTAACAGATCATTTGGCTGGCAATGGAGATTTTAAATAATTGATGCTTGCAATGTGCCTACCAGAAAGAAAAAAGGGAAAAAGATTAAAAAAAAAAAAAAAAGGTTCCTAGTTACAACCAACATCATTTTTCTGCGCAGAAGTAAACAAATCCGGCATGCATTTGCAAAATACACAACAACGAATTAGACTTCAGTCTCGTAAGTGACATAACTTGCATTCCAGGAATATACAGCAAACTTAACTAACTCTTAAGAGTTGAAGTCATTCTCAGCTCCAAAAACAGCCTCAAATTAAACGGCCAAGCCAGCTCTGTTTCTAGTTCTTCTCTCCTGGACTGGTTAGTATCCAATTCCCGTGATTGATTCTTCCGGGGGGCTTTTTGTTTTTTTTTTTTTTTTGTGTTGGATTGGTTCCCCCGGCAGCAGCTGAATGCATGGAATATATGTTGAAGAAACCAAGATATATGCTTCCTTCAATGCTGCTTCTTTATGCTGTACCCGAAATCACTTGGCAAATGAGGAGTATAATCTGTGATGTCTTAGCATGACAACTTCATCTATCTCTTCTCTGCTGAGAAAAACTACAACTTCATCTATCTCTTCTCTGCTGAGAAAAACTACATCCACTCCCCTAGTGCAAACTGAAAAAAGAAAGGCCTTTGTAAAATAAATGATTCGGCCATGTATTATAACAATTGATTTTGAGGATCATCACATTTTTGTCGTAGTATTTAGGCAGTTGGATGGACAACCAGTTGAGCTAACAACGTATTTATTGTTTTTACTTTTGTTGATTTGGCTGAGGTTTTTTTATTTATAAGCTGTAAGTATAATCGTTTTGGTGGCCTGATATGGTTTTATCATACATAATTTTAATTTTGCGTGATCATTGTTGCAAGAACTTCTCATAGTGTTGCTGAGGGTTGATACTTGATGTATAAAAAAAAAATTAAAAAAAAATGGTAAATAAATTTTCCGATAAAAAATTCGGCAAATTCAAAATCAAAATTACCAAAAAGAGAAGAAAACACTTTTCCTTTTCAAAATCAAAACTAGTTATTATTATTATTACTAGTATTATTCTCGCGCAAATTTTTCATAAATTTTAATGATGTGAGTAATTTTTGCCCTTAACTTTAGGGAATATACACTTTTTTTTTAAATCCTTTTTCAATTATAAAAGATGATAAATATTTTCATGTTAATGAATTACATTCAAAGTTTAAACTACTTTCATTCATGAACGTGATTTTTATATGCACCTATTCTATAGGTTTGTTTACAATGAAGTGAAACAAAACTTTTATTAACATATGTTTTATCATACTTTGGGAGAAAAAAAAATCTTACCAGATGTCTCCCATGCAATCTTGTATTAACACAACACATAATTACAATAGATTAATGTGATAATGTCCACGTTAGAAATTGGCGGATTCCAATTTCAAAGAATGAGTGATTTTGGTGACCCAATATATAAAGGGAGAGTAAGAGAGATTAATATGAGAAAAGAAGAAAAGAATCACTCTATGTTTGGAATATTATTTTTAACAATAAATCACAGTTAATATTGCTATAAGATACACATATTTTATACTTATCTTTGCCACATTTTACTATTGTTTTAAAATTCAAATTTGTTTCAGTTATCTTTTGAAACAAAAAATATCATTAATGACAAAATAAAGACCACTCTATTTTTTTATCCTATATATATAACAAAAAAAAAATTAAAAAATTCCTTAATGAATTTCCTTCGCACCTTCTTTCTCCATGGATTTTTTTTCATGCCAAACAACACACCGCACTGCACCTTTTGTTGCCGGTCACCATCCCAATTCCTTCTCCCCACCATTAGAGCTCTACCATGGCAGCGCTTCAAGAAGCAACAGAGGCTTAATTGGTTGGGTTGTATGAAGAACCCAATCTCTGTGCCATTCACGCTAAAAGAGTCACCATCACGCTCTTCTCATTCATCACAGCCGCTGGCATGGGATCTTCGAATTACACTCGACGGTATTTAGCTGGAGATGATCCGGCAATGAAGTAAAATTTATATGCGGCGGGTCCGGAGATTTTTGTGGCTAGAGTATTTTTTTTCCGGTCAAATTGATGATTCGGAGATCGTCGTCAAAAGTCTAATTTGAAGAAAGTTATTTTTTTTAGAAAATAAACATTTGACTATGTTTAAATTAACCATATTACTTGATAAAATACTCAGTAAAAAAATTTGCGAATTAGAAGATGACATGTGGATTACATAAAATTCTCTACAAATGAGAAGATGACACGTGTAATTGGAAATTATCGATGATCTAATTGGCTGACATTTGTCTTGTGAAAAAAATTCCCTTAATATAGAGTAAGATATTGAATTGAGTCGGTTATAATGCACGACCTATAAAAGGGCAAAGAGCTCTTCAAAATGCCAATTATAATTTAGGGCTCCTAGCAAGGTGTACCTACTGTGAGTCTCACGCGACTAAAAAATGGACATCTCCCGACAATTACAACAATGTCATTCGAGTGTATAAACGCGTTCATTTAATTCACCTTTTTGTGTGAGTTTTTGAATTTCAAATCCCCATAACCGTAATTTCTTCCTAATTTTCAGAAATTAATCATATCCATCTTCCACCCCATTCATCACAATCCGTCTCAAAAAAAAAACTAAAAAACTAAATTTCTCTACGGCGATTTGGCCAGAAAATCTCTTGTCGGATGGATTTCTGAGGACGGAATCAAATTGTGCATCAAATCCAGTGAAAATATACTCTGTTCAAGATGCGATTCAAGGTAATATATGAACAAAATTCATGAGTTTTGTGTGTTTTCTCAATCAATCTAGTTATAAGAAGGGCTTTTTTTAATACTGAATCATCCATGTAAAGTGCAACGATAGTGGATCCTGAATCAGATCGAAGCTGTTCGGAAAATAAAGATGAAAGAAGGTAATAATATTTATCTTAAAAAATCGATGCATTTTTTGGATGGATTTTGTAGATCTAAAGTATATGCATTCAATTAAAGATCTTTGTTCATCAAATTTTAAGATTTTTTCATCGTATTGTTGTTATTGTGGAAAATATTAATAGATCTGGGCCTTATTCATTAGTACGTATTCAATATTCATCTTTGTAATATGTAGATCTAAGGTTCCTGCATTCCTTATTTATGGTTGTGCACCAACTAGTCAGATTTGTTCATCCATTAGTTGTCGAGTAGGAAGGGTTTTCCAAAGTTTCGCTAATCATCATTTACCCAGTCATTATTAATCGATATTAACGGGTTATTCATCATAATAATTGTATTATACGATTGTTATTCATTATTTTATTTATTGATATTCATTATTTTAGTTGTTGTTCATCAACTACATTGTACCTGTTCAATTCATCATTTACTGCAGCATGTATTTCCCTGTATTTTTTGGATGGGTTTTGTAGATCTAAGGTATATGCATTCGATTAAAGATCTTTGTTAATCATTTTTGAAGATTTCTTCATCGTATTTGTTGTGGGTTTGGAAAATACTAATAGATCTAGGCGTTATTCATTACTCCGTATTCAATATTCATCCTTGTAATACGTAAATCTAAGGTTCTTGCATTCGTTTATATATGGTTGTGCACCAATTGTTATTAATCGAGTAAAATGTGATTGACACGATTGTAAATATGCGTCATCAATCCTGTAAAATAGTGTTATTCATCCTGTCAATATATGTTATTCATCATTTGAATATGTGTTCATTCCGTATACATGTATATTCATCATGCAAAAATATATCATTCATCCCCAGTGATTTTGTAATTCATCATATAATATGGGTCCGTACACGACTATTATCAGCTAAATTGGATGTATATAGTTTTTATGTTTATTCATCATTTTTTATATGATTATTCATTTTCAATACTATTGTTATTCATCATATACTTTGTTTAACTAGATTAGATTTATGTATATTTTTTTTAATGAAATTGATTTTCTATGATTATAATTATTCATCATTTAGTATGTGTTTTTGTAGATGTTTGGTGTGGATTATGTTACATGCTAGATGTTCACTTTTTTTGATCAGCGACAAAGAAATGCTCAATAAAATGAACTCGATCTGTCGGGATTCAAATATTTGACAGAATTGTTGAAATCAAACAATTAACATGAACGTATCTAGCATCAACGAATTTTTCAAGACCTTATATGTTAAAGAAAATGACTAGGGTTTTTTTTTTTTTTGGTTTTAATCTAGTATAATACATAATTAGAAGTTTGTTGGTTTAGTTGCTGACATTAACACATTGTAAAATATACTATCGGTAATTTTTTTTTATCAAAGTTATTCATCGCCTCCGGTTTCTTCCCTCCGCCTCAACAACCCGATTTCATGAACATCGACACTTATTCAAACAATAATATGCATAGCGGAGGTTTTTCAATAATAACCCAACTTTTGAATGCCAAAAGCTCCATCAGAAACTTAAACGACGCTGGAGTTACATTGGCAAGGCCGATTGTGGTAGAGAAGATGATGGCTAACCAAAATTGCGTGTTTTCGCCACTTTCCATCAACATTATTTTGAGCTTCATCGCAGCAGGGGCCTCAGGACCCACAAAAAATCAGCTACTCTGTTTCCTCAAATCCAAATCCGTTGAGGATCTAAATTTTTTGGCCTCTCAACTCGTCAATGATGTATTAGTCGATGGCAGTAGCATCGGAGGCCCTCGCTTGTCCTTTGTTAACGGAGCCTGGATCGATCAATCACTTTCTTTTAAGCCCGATTTCAAGAATGTTTCCGACAATGTTTATAAAGCTTGTTCGGTTTAAATGGATTTCCAGAAGAAGCCCGACGAGGCAAGAATCAAAGTGAACGATTGGGCTGAAACGGAAACAAATGGTCTCATCAAAGACCTTATTCCGCCCAAAGCCGTTGATGAAGGCACAAGGTTGATTGTTGCGAATGCTCTGTATTTCAAAGGAGTCTGGGAGGAGAAGTTTGATGAATCCCGGACAAAAAAGCGTGATTTTTACCTCTTGAATGGCAGCACAATCAAAGCCCCTCTTATGACTTGTTGGGAATGTCAGTATATAAGTGAATATGAAGGTTTTAAAGTGTTGCGCCTTCCTTACGAACAAGGCCGAGATGAGGCTTGATGCTTCTCCATGTACGTATATCTCCCGGATTACTATAATGGGCTGCCGGATTTGGTCGAAAAAATCACTGGTCAACCTGGGTTTGTCGAGTCCCATTTACCACGACATCGAGTTCACGTTGGTAATTTCTTTATACCAAAATTTGAGATCTCATATGAGATGGAAGCGTCAGACATTCTTAAAAAACTGGGGCTGGTTTTACCATTTGAGGAAGGTCTGACTGATATGGCAAACCAGGAACTCCGTGTTTCTCAAATTTTTCACAAATCATTCATCGAAATCAACGAAAAAGGTACAGAATCTGCTGCGGCAACCGGTGCCATTATGATGAGTTTTTGTGGTGCTGGTCCAATTGAACCTCCACCAGTGGTAGACTTTGTTGCGGATCATCCATTCCTTTTCCTTATTAGGGAGGATATCAATGGAAGCGTGTTATTTATGGGTACTGTCGTTAATCCTGTGACCTGTTTGTCATTAGCTAAACCATTAGCTGCTGTCTAGTTCCTATTTGTAATAATCCTGTGACCTGTTGATCATTAGCTAAACCATTAGCTGCTGTCTAGTTCCTATTTGTAATAATGGAATTTATAATTTTTTTTTTATCTTGTAAAAATATCTACGTAACTCTTTGTTTCATAACGATATTTTCATCTGCATTCTTAATATAAAACTCGTTATACTTCTCGGATGCATTAGCATAATTCGTATACATTCTTTTAAGTTTTTCACCTCTCGTTTTGAAGCTTGTTTCATGGAATTGAGGTAGACAGTATACATTAGCCACATTAAGTCCATGGAGCCGAATATTTTCCGCAAAAAGTTGAGATTCTCAAATCGCTTAGGAGCAGAAAATTAATCCAAGAGAATATATTTCAGAGCATAATTAGGTGAGGTCTAACTCCACCATATAAAGTTCTTCAATGATCCAGCCAGATGGAATGATCTAATGAAAGCCATTAATTTCAAAGTTCCAGAAAACATTACTAGGTGGAGCATACTTTCGTTATATATCTTCTTGAGAAAAAGATCGATCTCTATCAACATACTTGGTTGGACAAGTTCTCCTGGGATTTCTTCTAATTTGATGCAAAACAGCATCTGCAGCGACTCTAATTTTTTTTAAAAAAAAAAATCTTTGAAGGAAAAATTACAAAAAATGGGTTATTAAGTTTTTGTTCTCCATGGAGCTCTTCTTTTGGTATCGCAATTCACTCTCAAAAGCCGCATCATGATGATCAACACTGGGTTTCTGTATGACGAGTCCAAATAGTACGGCCCGTTACTAGATCGGCCCAAATTTGGTAAGCGGTCCAACTGGTCCCTGGAAGCTTCTAGGATGGTTGTTAATTACTGTCCTACTAAGAAAAGGTTCCATAATTTAGCTCTATAAATAGGGATCAATCCCTATTATCAAAGGTACGGTCTATGCACCTCAACTTCATACCTCTCTCACGAATACTCTTACTGACTTAAGCATCGGAGTGTCTTCCCTCAGGAGACCCCGAGGCTCTGTCTTGCAGCTTTTAGGGTTTCATAGCCGCCATGGCCGCCGGTTCAATCCACTGGAGATATCGGAGCAAATCCATGCTTCGTCATTGTACAAATTGACACAAAATGTTGATCTCTTGGGGTTATAGTAAGCTATGAGAAACAACAAATAAGTCGGAAATTTGGAACTTGGCAAAGGTTTTGCACCACTTCAATCAAAACTATTATCAAAAGACCTTTTGCCAGTATTTTACATCATCGTATTCCACTATGCGCGTGTGTTGAAAAAATTAATTAAGGATCATCGCGTGTTTAAGACTAATCCAGCCGGTGTACAAGTAAATCACCAGTGACGAAAAGGTAAATTTTCAAGTGAGGTGATGCTTGTCTACAAATACCAGATGTACCACAACCCCAGATTGAGAAGAGGTTAGAGCCAGCATATTCTAGATTGAACTTGCTAACTTGTGAAACCCATAATATATATATGGAAGACATGTATCAAGTACCTTACCTCTGTCCTCTGAACAGGACTCCAAGATCAAATACTTACTTGTTCTACCAAGATAAATGTTGTAGGACGATCATTTATTGGTGGTTGGTTTTAGATGATAAAAATTAACATGATTCTCTTTATCCAATATCATATTTTTATCTCTTGCTCATATTGATTTAACAAATGCCCTATGGGATAAAGATGTAGTACTATGCGGTTCCATAGAATGACACTAACTTATCACCTGTTCAAATCATACATGACTTTGGGACTTAAAAGTCCGCCAGAGGTCAATCAAAAATCTTTTATTCATAATTTAAGGACCCTTGAAAGGAAACTGAAACCAGTTCAGGATGGGGCCTCCAATGAGGTAACGATAAACCATGTCAAATTAACAGGGGAAAATACCAGATTAGGGAGAATTGGGAGCTATTTGTTAATTTAAACTCTGTAACTCACAATTTTGAACATTTGTCATTTGCATCATAGAGCGTGACGAGAGAAATAGGTGGTCTAAAATTGAAGTCATTCTTAGCTCCAAGCAACAACAGCTCAAATCAGATGGCCAAGCTAGCTCTCTTTCTAGTTCTTCTCCTGGTTGCGACCCGTTAGTCTCCGGTTCCTATGATTCTTCCTGTGTTTTCTCTCTTCTGAAAGAATGTCCTTAATTGGTTGATAAATTTTTTTGTTTATTGAACGCAGCAGTTCCTCCAACCAGCAGCATTAGTATTACTAGTTGTAACACTGCATCAAGGAAGCTGTGGGACGAACTACGCAGTGGCTATGGAATCAGCGGAAGTGGAGCCGCCCATGGTGGAGGGGGTTCTATTGTCTGCGATTGCAAACCTTGATGCAACCCCTGTCCTTGCTAACTTGCTTTATACAATGATGAAATGGATGGAATAAGTATTGAAGCAACCAGCATTTATATGCTTCTTTTAGTTCTGCTTCTTTGTGTTGTACCCGGTGATCTAAAATTACTGTCATGAGAGAGGTCCTAGTGCAAACTAAAATTTAGTCCTTCATAGAACAAAAGATTCTGCAACGTATTGGAATGATATCACATTTTGTTCCTCATTGATCTAACAACGTATATTTATTGTTTTCCTTTTGTTGATTATGGCTGAGGGTTTTGTTTACACGCTTAATTTTGCGTGATGATTGTTGCTAGAACTTTTCCCATTTAGGTAAATAGAATTTCCGATCATACCTTCTGATTTTGGTAAAATTTACAACTTGTTATATTGAAATTTTTATTTGGAAAAGGATCATACTTCATCATTCTTACGATATACTTACAAAATTCTTTTTGCAAACTGTTTTTCTGACTGGAAATACGCCATGTGACTCCATTATCGTGTGGTCAAGAAATCTTCAATCATGAATCAAGTAAGAAATTTAAACATCACAACTTTAAATTATGATAATAAAATTATTATACAAACGTGCAAAGTATTCAAGCGATGAAAAAATATAATTCGTCCTTGTAGCATGTACATGGACTCAATAAGAATTCTTGGCAGCTCAAACCAAAATATTCTCATTTTCTCTACCTACATCTCGTACCTTAAATTATTTACTTTTTTTAAAAAAGAATCAATAAAACTATATTAAATTTCTCCACAAAAATAATAATGTTACCTGATTCTTTTTGGCAAAGATCCAAGAAGAGGAATGAGATGAAAATAAATTTATGACTTGCGTTTAACTAACCATGGAGAGATTTCGGTGATTCCAAAGATTTTAGAATCAGAATTTTATCCAAATTCCAATAGTGATATTCTGTTAATGGAATGATTTGTTTGCTCCTAAAATACGGCTATCAAATTTTGTTTAAAGTTTAAATTCAAACTTTTCATTATTAATTTTAATTATTTTAATTGCTTGTGTAAATTGATATTTGTATTATCTCTCTTTATATTGCTTGTTGTTGAGTAAATTGGTATACAATCTATTGGCAACAAATTTAGCCAAATACTAAACCATTTTGTATTACATCTCTAGACTTTTACTAAGTGACAAACACCTAACTATTGCAATGGACCTAAATCATCACTTGTATTTTGGAAAAGCACAGAGAGTGCATCATTCTTCTATCAAATGCATGCTACCATCGAGTTGTCTGTGTGGAGTGGACATCTACTAAGGCCTTAGGTGCTTTTGCCATTTGCAAGCTCCTTTAAGCATGCTATTAATCCTGATTAGTAGGACTATGAGAAAGTGAAAATTTTCGCTTCCCAGCCCAAGCATGCTATTTATTCAGTTGACCTAATATCACCACTTCTTCAAAAGCACCATAAATTCAAGTATTGCGAGAAGAAAAGCAAAAATTTTATAACCATTTTAATCATATTGTATCCGATGGAGGGGGCATTATGTATAGTTGTATTGTTCCTCGAATACATGCTACCCCTCTCCCAGCGAGAGTGGAACCTCCTTAAATATATTAGATCAGAACTAAATTAACTCAAATGCAAGTAGGACTTACGTGGAGCAGTCTGACCTCTTTATATATGGAATTTTTCAGCAAACATTACTACAACCGATGCCATTCGTGAAATAAATAATCTTCCCATATTGTAATATTTAAATGAAAAGAAAACAATATTCTTGAGAAAATCTGGAAAAGGTACTATTTAGTAACTATACTTTGAAACATCAAAGTTATGCAACTGAAAGGATGGTCTTAAGTATAAATCTGATTTTAAATAGTGTAATACATAATGAGTTGTAGATTTAGTCCTCTGTAAATTAGTGCTTCATTCAGCCATTAATAAGAATTTCCTGATTGACCTGGTTCAATTTGCAAAATAGGTGATCCATTTCAGTATTGCTTCGATCTAGACGAGTGTTAATGTATTTTTTTCCGCCATTTGTCGCAATCATTTTCCGAAACTTTGTATTCCAGTTAATGTGGGGAAAGTTTTATGTGAAATAATATTGATACTTTTGTTTATTTTTCATGTAACCAAACATTTTTATGTGTATATTTAGGGGTGAAATAAAGCCAATTTCGGAATGAAAGAGTAAAACTCCATTTGGTAGAAGCTAAACAACGAAACATTTTTATGTTCTTTCAGGAGACTACAAAACAATCCCTTTATGTTCTTTCATTTTTCCTTCTCTAATTATATATATGTTGATCTGATCCTCTTAACCAACTCAAGATTCTCTTTTTGTTTGAAAAAAGAAAAAGTCCTGTTTTCTGTGTGACATGGTAAACAATATACCGCACTCAAAAAATCTTTTCACTCAACAACAACAACAACAATTAAACCCCCAGTTCCGCATAGATGAATGGTATAACGATTCTTTGATGAATCCTCTGTTCATTTCATTTTGATGAACGATTAATGGGTTCGATTCAGATTTTGGTGTTTTATCTTCTGTGTTTTGCTTCTTCTACGTGTAAGTTTTCGTTTTGTAACCCATTCCTCTTCCTTTTTTCTTGCAAAGTTTATGTTGGATAATAATGTCAGTCAAAGTGTAATAAAGAATATTAAGAGGAGAGCGGGGTTGTGATGAATTAGTCTTGATGGCTTATTATTGTTATTGTTATTATTTGTTTAAATCATTTAATGGTGAATTTCATATGGGTATGATCCATTGGATCCCAATGGCAATATCACAATCAAATGGGATGTCATGCAAGATAATCAGAATACCCGAGAGGTAAGTTTTATTTGATTTCAATTGTATGACTAAATAAATCACTATTTAGCTAACTACTAAGAATTTGAAAAGTATGTTTTCTCTTGATTTTTTTCATTTTTGTGAGCACCATTCCCTGAAGTATGTAAATGAAGACATTAACACTCTTGTTTTCCCTAATTGTGATGTTAGAAGACTGTAATGTTTGAATAAATTAGTAACTTTTGTACTGTTCAATGGCTACGCTTGTAAGAAGTGTTTATGTAAAATCTACCATTTGAAAGATTTTGAGTTTGCTAGAAAAACTTTTTGTGGCATGTTTGAGTATCCATATTCAATTTTCACCGCTTCCAGCATGTAAAGCAGCCGGGATGGAAACTAACATGGAATTGGATTGGTGATGAGGTAATGTGGAGCATGTTGGGTGCTGAAACTACAGAAGATGGGAATTGTTCTGCTTTTAAGGGTCATACCCTCCCACATTGTTGTGATAGGCAACCTGTTATAGTTGATCTTCTGCCTGGAGCCCCATTCAATAAGCAAATTGCAAATTGTTGCAAAGGAGGGATGCTCTCATCAATGACACAGAATCCTTCCATAATATGGCGCTTCTTTCCGGATGACCATCGGTAGTTTTAACGCGACTGTGAATGGTAGGTACTACGAGTAAAGCTCTAATAGGTTTTCCGCAGAACCTCAGTATTGGACTTCCTGGTTCAGATTTCTATATTGTCAGTTAGCTTCGGGGACACGTATATTTGAAAAAACAAATTTCATAGCTGGAATTTCTACAATGTTTTTATTTTCAATTTCTTCTGAAATCAGGACTCTGGCACGGCCATTATCACTATCGCCGATACATAATATATGCAAAAAAAAAAAAAAACTGAAATCTATATGGATTGGAACTCTTCAAGCACCAAGAGATTGCAAACGCCAAGTCATTCATAGCCTACCACTCTCAAACTATTTTGCATTGTAAAATAGATTTTGTCAAAATCATCTAAAAATATAAAAACAAAATAAACACCGAAACAATTAAGCTTTCAGATGGAAAATTCCAAATAGAAACTATCATTCTTGAAAACAATCCTTTAAGTTTCAGAAATCCAATAGGACTCAGAAATCACAAATGACAGAACCATTTAGCAGAGACAAAAATCACCTCGAATCCCAACGTTATTGACCAAATCGATGCGACCAAATGCATCCCAAGCTTTGCTAACGGCAGCTTCAATGGCTGGCCGATCAGAACCAAGGTCCAGCTCGATCGGGACGATTTTCAATTGACTGGAGGAATCATCCGATGAGGAAGAACCCAGTTGGCATAGATGATTCGTCGCCTCCTCGCCGGTAAATAATGTCCGGCTGCAACAAAATCACCAATAGATGAATCTGCAACAAACAAATTCACCTCTTGTTCATATTCCATGTATAGGACCGTTAGTTAGGATACACTCTCAAGAATCAACAGCGATCAAATATCACATCATTCCGATACGAATGAAGAATCTACAGCTATATAAAGAGATTTAATTGAGGAGAGAAAACTTTGTTGGGATTTGACATCTTCTGACCCAGTTTTTATATCCGTATATCTATGACCAGAGAAAAGAATTAGAGGAGGGATGAAGGACCGAGTAGCAACAGATTGCCAATTTAAGATTTGATTTTTGGATACGGAGAAATTTTTTAGGGATTATTTGAAAGATAAAATTGCCAACAAATTCCAAAGAATGCGTGAGTTTGGATATACTGGATCTTGGTCATTTATTTTTCTAAAATTTTTAAATCTAGAAAATTAAGAAAAATTAATCCTATGTGGCATATGCTCCATGCCTTTAGTTTTCTCTCTTTGGTTTTTGCCTAAGTATAGTGTATTAGATAGAATAGATATAGATTAGTACATTGTGAATCGGCTATAATACGCGACCAATATAAAAGGGGCGAACAACTCTCCAAAAAGCCCTCCATATCTCATCTTTTTTTCGTCATCAATCAACGAATTTATTAACCCTAGCGCGACCTTCCAGCAGCATACTCAATCATGATCGATCACAATCAGCAATCTCCCTCCAGTGATGCCACTCAGGGTGGTGGTTATCCACCGGAATGGTTTATTCCGGTAAACCATACTTTTTGGTTACTATCCGTTGCCGCCGCCTCAGATCTACGTCTATGCTCCTTACCATCAGCCGCCGCCTCCGAACTACGGCTATTCTCATCAATACGCTCCGCACCACCAGCCGCCACCTCAGAACTACGGCTATCCACCCCACCACGGCTCCGGTTTCTTCCCTCCTCTGCCTCAACAGCCTGATTTCATGAATAACTACACATATTTCAACAATATGCATAGCGGAAGTTTCTCATCGAACACCCAACTTTTGATCTTCAACGATGCTGGAGTGACATTGGCAAAGCCGATTATGGTTGAGAAGATGAACGGAGGCGAAAATTGCGTGTTCTCGCCACTTTCACTCAACATTATTTTGAGCTTCATTGCAGCAGGGGCCTTAGGAGCCACAAAAGATCAGCTCCTCTCTTTCCTCAACTCCAAATCCGTTGAGGAACTCAATTCCTTGGCCTCACAACTCGTCACTGATGTATTAGTGGATGGCGCTAGTGTCGCTTGTCATTTGTCAATGGAGCCTGGATTGATCAATCTCTTTCTTTTAAGCCCGGTTTCAAGAATGTATCCGACATTGTTTATAAAGCTCGTTCAATTCAAGTGGATTACGGAACAAGCCTGATGAAGCAAGAATTGAAGTGAACAGTTGGGCTGAAAACCAAACCAATGGTCTCATCAAAGACCTTATTCCCAAAGGTAAGGTTAAATGTGATACGAAGTTGATTCTTGCAAATGCTCTGTATTTAAGGGACTCTGGGACCATAAGTTTAATGAATCATGGACAAAAGAGTATGACTTTTACCTGTTGAATGGCAGCACGATCAAAGCCCCTCTTATGACTAGTTGGGATGATCAGTATATAAGTGTCTATGACGGTTTTAAAGTGTTGTGCCTTCCTTACCAAAAGGGCCATATGAGGCTCGACGTTTCTCCTTGTATTTGTATCTTCCTGATGATTACAAAGGGCTTCCGAATTTGGTCGAAAGAATCAGTCGTCAGCCTAGGTTTGTGGAGTCCGATTTGCCACATCGTCCAGTTCCTGTTTGTTACTTCTTCATACCAAAATTTGAGATCTCATATGACATGGAAGCTTCAGATATTCTAAAACAATTGGGGCTGGTTTTACCTTTTGACGAGGAAAAAGCTGATTTCGCTGACATGGTGAATGTGAAGCTCCTTGTTTCTAAAATCTTTCACAAATCTTTCATCGAGGTCAACCAGAAAGGTACAAAAGCTGCTGCGGCAATGGCTGCCATTATGCCAGAACCTATGGGTTGCTCAGCTCTGCCAATACCTGAACCAAAAGTGGACTTTGTGGCGGATCATCCATTCTTTTTTCTTATTAGGGAAGATGTCAATGGAAGCGTGTTATTTATGGGTACTATTGTTAATCCTGTTAGTCATTAGGTAACCATTAGCTATCAAGATTATGATTTTGAATGGATCATATGGTTTTCTTTTAGCGCAAATATTCATGTAACTTTTATCGTACAGAGAAATATTTTCATCAGCATTCTTGACATAAAACAGTTTTGTCTTTGTATAACGCTAGTATAACATCTTTGTTAATTGCTATAATAAAATGTCGTAGATACTGCTTGTTATATTATTTTATGGTTGAAAACATTACTGAAAACAAAATGTCTTTGTATAACGCTAGTATAACATCTTTGTTTTGCTCTCTCTATATAAAACAAATCTTCGTGTTTTTGTTAAACGCAAAAGTAGTCCGCCAAAAATCACACTATGTAGGTGAGTTCATAAATCTCAACGGCAAAAGTTTACTTAGTACTTTACCCATTTTCAACAACTATGAACATATGATTTAGGAAATAAAGTGCTAGAAGGGACATTTGGTACTTTTATTGCATAATTAATATTCACTAATAATTGTCTAATACCTCCAGGAAGTTCCAGAGATACCAAATAATATAGAGTTTCAGAAGGAAGGATCTACTGCTCCCATGGAAGATCCGTTATAAGCCTTAGCGGATTTAGATCGCGTTTATAAATTATAGATTTAAGGACTTCTGATCATAGGTTTGACTGACCTCAACATCATAATCTTGGAGCTAGGATCAGACAACATCTTGTTATCTGACCCAGTGCTTAATGACAGACTATTTATTGGTGATATCTTGCTATTACCCGGCTAGATAAATCTTATGTTGTCAAGATTTTGACTCAACGTGTGTGTGTGTATATATATATATAGGGAAATTTTAGAGTCCCGTTATCATTTTTAACTGAACCGTCCCATTAAAAATTCAACCAATCAGAGTTGAGAGCATACCATTTGTTCATGGGGTGCGAAACATGTTAATTATTTGTTTAATTTTTTTAAAGAATTATCTAAATTGAATTGAAATTATCTCAATAAATATAATTGTTAATACAAATAGGAATCCACTTGCTCTTTTCTCGGATAAAATGTCTCCCACCATCCAATCTGTTCTTTTTTTGGGTTCAAAAACTCAAACTTTCTTCTACTTTCACTTTTCTTTTTCTTTTTTGTTAACTGTTTTCAGTTTTTCTTTTCATGGTGATCATTTTAAACTGCAATTTTAAAATCATTCTTGTTGCTTCCTCTTCTTTCCCTTTAACTATGGCTCAAACGATAAAACCTCCTACCCATCAAAGCAAGAAAAACAAATGATGAATTTTATCTAAATACGTAAACAAGATAAAATTATAACTAAAACTATAATTTCAGAATTTTATATGAGTCGTAACTAAAGCTGCCGAGAGGCAATACGGTACAAATTGGAGATGGACCCCAAAGGACCCAGTATTCTTCAATCATCAATGCAAGTACGCAGGATTATGTTGAAAGAATTAAAGCTCATCAATAGGGGGTGACTCAAGTTGGGGTTTTGAGGAAGAAATCAAATATGAATTTATTTTTCATTGAAAAATGCCGGAAGCGAATTGCAAACTGAATTGGATTTAAGTAGTCGGCCTTACGATGGTAAAAATATTATTTAAATGTTTTGGGTATTTTTTCTACTGCAGCTTATCAGATGCATTTTTCTTTTTCACATTTAATCCGCATCAAAGCTTAGTTTGGAAGTGAACAAATTGATTTTACTTTGGCATCTGAGCAGCGAACAATTGTCCGAATAAGAAATTAAAGGCAAAGGGTCTTTGCAGAAGCAATCAGTTAGACTAATGGCGGCGACGACAACCGAGCGTGGGGGTGGAACTTTGCCTGAAATCCATCAAAATTCCAATGCGCTGCTGCTTGAGCTCGCGCTGGATTGGAGAAACTACGATGTCAGGAATACTCCTATTCGTCCTTACTGTCGTCATCTCTAAAATCCTCGCTGGAGTTTTTCGATGCCATGAGGGCAGATTTCCTCTGGATATCATACAATTCACTAGAGATATTATTTAAAGTCGTTGGCTGGTGATGTTTTTTTTTTTTTGTTCGCTCCGGTGGTAAATTTTTATGTTTATGAGACCGCTTTTCCTTTTTTTCCCCAGTAATTAATGAGGTTCTAGATTCTTTTCTTATAATCAGGTGCAATTAGATATATCTCCTTACGATACACTCTCTTTCTAATCCAACGATTGTTAATTGTTCTAATTGATCTTACGGTTATTAACTTATGACGGAACCGTCCCGCAACGGGACTCTAGACTCTCCCATATCCCGTTGGCTAATTTTACGGAAACGTACCATTTTATCTTCAACCAATCAATATTGAGGATATAAGATGTAATCGTGGGGTGAGAAACATTCTACAATTTCTCAAACTAATTACTTTTTTGGTATCATGGTCTTTTATATTAATCCAAATGTATATTTTGGTCTTATAAATTAACATTTGGCTAAAATAGTCCTTTATATTTTTATTTGTAACTTTTTTTGTTCTTTGGCACTATTCCAAGAGTTTGACTTTGACCATCATTATTCCAAGAGTTTGACCATCTTTATATTTAAGCCAATAGGGCATTTTTAGAATAAAAAAATATTTATTTTTTAAAAAAATTAATATTGAATAAAATATTAATAAAAATATTAAAATAATTATATTCATAAAAATAATTACGAATTAAAATAAATATTAAATTGATAAAAAGTTAAAAAGTTTAATTTTTGAAACTCAAATGAATTTTTTTTTAAATAAATGTACCTTCGTTGCACAAATTTTGATATAATTTTTAATTTGGTGCGCATAGAATAAAGTAAAAATATTACTTTTACGACAAGTTCCGATAAAATGAATAATTAAGTTTAAATTTAAGATTTTATTCTAATCTAATTTCTTAATTTGGATAGGTTTTAATTTATAAAATTGTTGTGAGTTATATTTACCTATTAGTAGATTCTAACAGAAAATTTTAGAATCTACAAAATATAGGATGAAATAGAATGAAAATTCTAAAGTGATGGGCTGGAGTTTAAAAATTACGTCAAAATTTTTTTAAAAAAAATTAAATTTTGATTTTTTAAAAATAATTTTTTTATTTAGTATTATTTACTTAATATTAATTTTTTAGAAAATAAATATTTTCATTGTAATTGATAAAATATAGAATGAAAATTTTACAGTGATGGACTTGGGTAAAATAAAGAAAGAAAAAGTTTTTTAAAAAATTAAATTTAAAATTTTAAAAATATTTTTTTATTAATTTAATTTAATTTTATTGATTTTAAAAATTATGTGGGTATATTATAGAACAACTAAAATCATTCAGGGTAAATATGCCAAAAATATGGGGTCCGCAAAAATTTTTTCTAATAAAAAACTGTACAAAGTAACTAAATGTTAGCAGAGGTGTTAAATCTAACTGAATTTTGGTCAATTAGCCAGAAATTGAAACTTGGATTATATATTTGGCTTCCCAAAAATCTTTTTAGTCAAAATTAGCCGGACACTTGAAGTTTTGGGCAAAATTGACCATTTTCTTAAATTTTTTCTGGTTAATAATGTGATTTAGGTGTATTTACTTATGATGCACCCTCATTTTAATCCTACGATTATTAATTAGTCTAATTAATCTTACGGTTATCATCTGGTGCACTGATCACCTACCGTGTTATGTTTTTTTGAAGTCCTTTCATTCTTATAGAAAGTAAAATATTAATTTATGTAAAAGTAGGAAAAAAAAAAAAAAAGGCAACTTCGAAGATAAATGGACTATATATCTGCGGCAACACACATTTAATTGCTGCTGAATTTGCCAAGTTGCTAAAACTTGAAGGAGATTTACATTCTTATGATTGGACCGTATTATTTGGCATTTGTTTGCTTATATAATGAATCTCAACTTTTGTAGATGAGGAAGATTTTGACATTTGTTTGCTTATCATACATTGGCACCCCTGGAAATGGATACCTTGCTCGGAACCAATGTCCGTAGACTTAATATGGCTAATGTGAGGAGGTAGCTATATATTGCCTTATCTCAATTCCATGAACAAGCTTCAAAAAACCAGAGGCGAAAACCTAAGAATGTATACGAATTATGCTATTCAGTCCGATAAATATATGAAGTTTTATAATGCTGAAGAAAATGTCGTTATGAAAGTAAAAGTTACACAAGATTTGCGAAAAATAATAGTAATGGCCCTTAATGGCTAATGGCTACTTAATGACCAACAGGATTAACAACACTACCCATGAATAGCACACTTCCACTGCGATCTTCTCTAATAAGAAAAAGGACTGGATGATCCGCAACAAAATCTACCACTGGCTTAGGTTCCCTTGGACCAGCACTACAACTCCCCCCATTACGGCAGCCGTTGCTGCAGCAGCTTCTTGTCCTTTTTCATTGATCTCTATGAAAGATTTGTGATAAATTTATTATTGATTCGTTATTGTTTATGGGTATCAATTGATTGGATTGAATGAATGGTTTATTGTTGTTGAGTTTTTGTTGATGCAGTTACTTCGATGAATCGCTACTTTGATGTCTATTATGTGTTATGTATTTTTGTTGAATTATAAACATTGGATAAAAGATTTGATTAATTTATGATGCCAGGGCAACGCTAAAATGTTCCAAAATTCATACTGCACGTGGTAGTTTTGAGCATTCTTCATTATTGTAGTTACACCTTTTAGGTATGATTTGGGATAGTGATTGGATTTTACGGTCTAACTCATTGTATAAGAATTTATCAAGTGACTTCCCAGTCAATGCCAAAAATAGCGAGTTTGTTGCTGGGACAATCCACTTGCAACGTGTGAAGAATTATGAGCACTCCCGCATGGCATTTATGTTTTTTGACAAAGTTGGCAATGGGCAAATTGATGTGGAGGAGTAAAACATGCTAGAGGTGTGCTCCATGAAATCATGCGAGAGATGGATACATGCAAGGTATAATATTTCACCCACCTCTGCAATCTGTTGCATGATTAGATTCTTTTACTTCTATGGAACAATTTGCATGTACCCCACGGTTCACTAAAGAAAGGAAATGTTCATGTTAAGCCATCTAGAAGTTTTAATGGTCAAATATCCCTGGCTGGCAAGACCAGGTACCAATTTTATGAATTGCCTGAGAAACAGATACTCATTAGATCCTGCAACGGTGCAACCAAATCGCATGCTTGAACTCTTAATACTTGATCGATGTCAACTGAACTTTTTGTAATATTTCGGAACCCAACTGGTCTCGTCGCCTCTACAGAAGCCAAGTTGTTAGTCACAAAGCAAGGGATAATGGCAATTCTCAAGTACGCAAAATTCAAAGCAAATAGGCCATGGAAGATTAATGTTTTCAAATGGATTTTGGAATACGAAACAATTCTTGTTGAAGATTACATTATACTAGTTAGTAATATCCCAAAGTAGATCCCAAAAAATAAATCAAGGAACTTTAATCATGAGTCAAAATTGAACCCTAGGCTTATTGGGCCTAGGATTAAGTTACTTGGAAATTAAACCACCGCCTAAACCTATTCCCCCAGGATTTCAGAAACAGGTAACACCACCTCTATATAAAGAGGTGGTGCCTCTCTCATAATACACATCTTTTACACATCTTCTACACGTTCTACACACGATACACATCTCTCTCTATTCTCTCTATTCTTTTATTGACTTAAGCATCAGAGAGTCTACTCTCAGGAGACACCCGATACTCTGTCTTGCAGGTTTTAGAGCGTCTGCCGCCACCTAGATCATCATCGCTGCTCGTCCTAAGGTACCGTACAAATCCAGGATTCGTCAAGTGGCACGCCCAGTGAGACCAATTTGTTTGGTCTTCACAACCAAATATTTCTTGAAAAGAAACCGAAATTTATTTGTTCTTCACGGTGATCATCGGGTTGATTTGATGTGCAAATCCATGTACGTGAAAGTGAAAATCAAGAATTTAAAAATTTCCATATTGACAACCGTCGACTTCCGCGCCGACTTCCTTCGATCGATTATCCGATCGACGACAGTTCTGTCAACGTTTTTGCCGAGTTGCTCCAGCCGACTACGAAGCCGATATCGACTTCCATGCCGATCTAAACAAACCGACGAACAAGCTAACAAGGGGCGATTTTTATCTTATGGTTGATTAACCCTAATACTTTTATAATTTTACAGATAAGCTCTCAAGTCCTTCGAAGCAATGGGCAATCTCGAAGATTGAAGTTTCGAGAGATACATCTCCTCGAAGGGGCAAGCATCCCTCAAGCACCATACTACTACTTGTAGTGTTAGAGAAGACGTATCTTGTCTTTCATAATACCTTCGCGGAATCGAGGCAACACCTTCTCGAGTAATCAATTTATCTCGAGATTGAGGTATTTCTCAAACTTTTTTAATATATTTTTCGAATCAAAATCAATCTACTGCTGATATCATTAGCATATTACTACTATCATATCAAGATATTTTTTCAAGCACGATCAAAGGAGTTCTTTAAGTTACAAACCCTCTCGCGGTAAAACCCTATCACCCTTCAACGAGAAAAACGTACTCGGGAAAACAAACAAGGACATACCCTTGGGGCAAGAAATTTGAGGGATCATCCTAATATCCTCTGCTTAAACTGATATTACTCATAATCATCTTATTACTATATGTCATTACATTATTACATTATCTATTGCATCTCGGACATCCAAACATATAGGGTTCCTCCCTTCAAATAAGGAAATCCAGGCGCCATCCTCCTAATTCGGCATACACAGGCTTCCCTCTCCTAATCAAGAACTCACTAATACAAAGAGCTCCTCGAGGCACTTTATTCTCTTTATCTAATATAGGTGACACCCGAGAACGAAAGACTTCAAGAATTGGGGCAACACCACGAAACTCGAGAAGAATCAACACTCGTAGCAACCCATATTTTTCTCATCAAGTCTCGAGAATATGGTTTGCTAGGGGCACTTGACGAGTCCAAACTGAATCCTAAGCCTATTGGGTCTAGGATTAGGTTACTTGGAGATTAAGTTACCGCCTAAACTTATTCCGCTAGGGTTTCAGGAAACAGGTAACACCACCTCTATATAAAGAGGTGGTGCCTCTCTCATAATACACATCTTCTACACCTTCTACACATGATACACATCCCTCTCTCTCTATTCTCTCTATTTTTTTATTGACTTAAGTATCGGAGAGTTACCCTCGGGAGACACCCGAGGCTCTGTCTTGTAGGCTTTAGGCCGTCCGCCGCCGCCAAGATCATCATCACCGCCCGTCCTAAGGTACCGTACAAATCCAGGCTTCATCATTTAATTTAGTCAATTTTCAGTCCGTTTAAAAGTAAGCTCTATATATAATCTTCAACAAGTTGCTATCGAGATCGTTCAAGATTATATGAATATATGATCAATCAACTAGGCATTATCAAGCCGGATTTATCATCTTTTTGGAGAGCATATGCGGCTTGTTGTTAACCTGATTGGAAGTGACGAAAGAATAGGCGCCATCCATATTATGTTCAGTACCACAGAGTAGTGACAGACAATTATTTGAGAATGTACTTTTATTTAAAATCTTCCATCAAATAGCTGATCTTGCCAATGAAAACTAAACGTCGAATCTTAGCTACAAGGGACATCATTCACATGATACACGTGGAGACTATGAATTAAGATTTGTTTACATGTAGTACAATTTTTGGTTATTCAACTAAACATAATTTTAATACTAGCGTGTTTCTCTTTGAAAATCGAGTTTTACAACTTGGAGTTAAAAAAAGGTGCTTGTTTTGACTTTATTCTTAACACATTTGTGTTCAGTTTAGTTAAGAACAAAAGATTAAAACTCACTCTAGAAATGAAATCTTTTCCTCTTCTTTTGAGTTTGACAACCAACACAAAAGGTTTTCTATATGCATGACCTAATTTTTTGCAATGGGGAATGCATCCCTCGACTATTCAGAGAATACGCTACTAGAATTTAACCTCAGTACAGGAAATCATCAAAAGCGTACTTATAGAGATTGCTTGATGTTAGCGGTGACGAGAAGAATCTCTGTTCTTTAGCAATGATTTGTTTCAGTATTTCCTCCGTCTCAACGAAAAATAATTATCTATTATTTTCTCTATCCCGAAATTATTGTCCAATTAAACTAAAGGTGAAAATCAGAACTTATTAATAATTTTGGGGTAGAGGGAATATTATATACTAGCTTGATAAACAAGATTTTTTTTTTTCTCGGGGGCCATAAACAATTTTAAAGATTGAACTGCTGCATATGAGTACAGTCAGATGAAGTTGGCGGGTTCACACAAGACAATTTTGGCTGTTCAGCTAAACATTTTATTATACATATTTAATAACTAATTTGTGTTTTTTCTTTGCAAAACAAATCCGATATGAAGTCTCCAAAAAAGTATTTCGAAGTGTTTTAATTCAACAAAGTGGGATTTTTTCCAGGATGGAGAGAGTAACAAATTGGGTTTGCGCCCTTATAAATAGAGCAAAATGGACTAAGCAGCTAGCTACTTCACTTGCTCTCTAGAAACAAATAGCAAAGTTTGACTGGAACTGATACAGCTGAAGTGTTCTCAGGTTCAAGAAACAGCACAAATCAAATGGCCAAGCTAGCTTTTTTTCTTGTTCTTCTACTGGTTATGACTGGTTAGTATCCCAGTGACATAATGTTCTTGTTTGTTCTCCAGATTTCACGTCTCAACACCTAAATTATGATTTCATTTTGGCAAGTTTTTGTGGCAGCACTCTCTCCATCCACCAGCGCTGCTACTTCAGCTACTGCTACTGCATCGAGGAAGCTGCTGGACAAACCGCACGGCGACGCTGCTGCAGGAGACTCAAGAATTCCTCGGGGCAGTGCAGGTGGAGTGTCTGTCGACGATCTTTGTCCATGGTGGTGTGACCCTCGATGCGAATGTTAATGATCTTGAACTCCTAATCACTTGTAAAACTGTTTGTTTTTTAATATTCCACGATTAAGTATTCCCTTTCAAAAAAAAAAAAAAAACAAGTATTCCTACAAGTAATGTCTTCTGTATTCCTCTATGTAACCTACCAGCCGCGAGTAATGTCTCCTACTAGCGACTGTTATCCTCGAAATCACATCATGCTAAATACTATTGTACCGCTTTTCACAGTTAAGCCTGCATATTTTACTGCTTGAAGTTGCAAATTGTCTTCAGATTTCATATTTCCAGCTCCCTACTTCCAATTTCCAGTGACAATTTTAGCGTTACAGATATCTTATAAATCCACATTTTATGGAGAAGTTAAACAATAAAATTTCTTATAAATCCACATTTTATGGAGAAGTTAAACAATAAAATTTACGCCGACAACAACTCAAAGCCAACCATCCTCCTCTATTACAGTGACAATCTAAATAAGAGTGAAATATCCTTCAAATGGGATCCTCCGTTTTGCTTTAAGCCATTGGTGTACTACGCCATTGGTGTACTACGATCAGCAGACCTCGAAGACTATAACATCGCTTTAAAACTTAAGCAAGCCACTATGTCTAGTAAGACATCCCTGTTTCTTTTATTATCTCAATCTGAACTCATATTTTCCTGTGGTTTGAAGATAAATTTTTCTAACCTATGATGATAGTCAATCAAAACTCCTATCGTAAGACCTCTCACATCAATAGTTTACAATCGTGCAATATATCAGTTCAGGCTTAAATTAAGGGTCCTTTTTCTATTGGAGCAGCACATCCATCAATCTGCAATCCTTTCTGAAACTCATTTGAAACTTTATTAGCTTCTAGGAGAATGAGAGTGACTGTAGATATGATACCAATGTGGATTTCCTAGGTTCCCCAACTGGTTGAAATACTCACTATGTTCCACCCAAAAACATAAATAAATAAATAGTCGTGCTTGTTGTACCATTTTAGTCCAATCAACAAACATGACTCACTCTTTGGAACCAGGGGAGTACTCGATTAATACCAAGCAACTTTTTGTTGAAACAAATATGTCGTTAAATAATGTATTATTAATTAATTGATGGGAACAATGTTCTTTGAAAGGCTAATCGATGTTCATTCATTAAAACACAGTAATGAAACAAACTGAAACCCTTATAACTATGTAACATAGATTAGCAACTCAACTTGCACTTCAAGAAGAAAGAGCAAAGTTTACCTAAGTGAAAGAAATGATGTCATTCTCTGCTCCAAGAAACTGCAGAAGTAATGATGGCCAAGCTAGCTCTCTTTCTAGTTCTTCTCCTGGTTGCTACCGGGTAGTATAATTCTTCCTGTACAGTTCTCTGGATTTCAGCTGCTAACTCCCAAATTTAAGAATGTTTTAAAGTTGGCATGCTTTAACTGCAGCACTTTCTCTAAGAAGCAGCACTACTATTACCACTGCATCAAGGAAGCAGCAGGAAAAAAATCTCGCTTTGGAACAAATCCCGCTGCATCAGTCTCAGCATTTGGAGGAAGTAATGCCGGTGAGGTTTCTGTAGCCTGCCCTTGCCCCTTATTGCAATTGTTATTCAATGAGTGCAAGACATTAAGCAATACCCAACCAGCATATGCGTCTTCCTTATTCTGCAAGTTGTACCGAGTACGAGTATGTGTACTCAGTGCTGTACCGATAGGTCTTGCAATCTGTGTAATGTTCTTGTAGCCATCATATCATATGCAAGTCTGAATTTGAATAACTTGATCTAAACAGCAGAAAAAGAACATATGAAAAGGTTGAAGATCCCATCTACAGCGAATCCCTTCCATCAGTAGTTTACAAACGAGAACTAACTCCATTTAGGCTCAAGGGACCCCTTTCCATGGGAGCAGCACATCCTTCAATCTGTAATCCTTCTGTTACTGTTTTATTCGTACCTTTAGAGCACAGGTAAGATAGTGATTGCAGCCAGGAAACCAAGGTGGGTTTCCTTGTCACATCATCAGATTCGGCAACATGTTGGCTTAATTGACTGAGGATCACATTCTGTCCATCTTTAGGCAGTTCGACAACCACTTGAGCTAATTGTTTCATTAAACTTGGTAAAACCTGGGGGGGGAACAAAAAATCAAGGTTCCATCGGTCCAGTTGTAACAATTGATAGAAGACTAATCTCATTTAGAAAGGCATCTTTATATGCCACAAAGAGAAAGCCAACTCAGACAAGGAACATTTCAATACCTCAAAGGAACAATCTAAAGGTGAGATACAAAGATCATGACCAACTGACCTGCACATCAACTACGGAAAGAAGTCGAACAAGCAATTCCAAGAGTTTCTGACAAGGTTCCCAGTCTCCAATCTTACTCTTCATCAAATCAGCACCCTCTGTGTCATCTACTCTAAACAGACTGCAGGCTTTTTCAACTATACTGTGGACACTGTAAAATATTGACGGACTACCAGCTGGAAGATTTTTAACCACTGCCGCGATGCCCGAAGCCATTCCTTCGAAAGGGGTAATCCCAGGGTATCCCTGTATATCAGTTTAAACTATCACAACCAGGCAGACAGTTGTGTCATTGACCCAGCCTAAATATGTAAACAGTAGATACAACGTGGGTACCTCTAGCGATCTCTGCATGTAGTAGAAAACAAGTTGCTCCTTCAATGAAGATCTGTCATCCTGGTCAGACTCCTTGCCAGAAGAGATGAATGCAACAAATATAGAGTGAGATGCTCTTGCCACTTTTACATTTGTATGTCCCATATATCTAATCGTGAAAGCTAAGGTGATCAACCATTTAACCCAAAAACCAAAAAAAAAAAAAAAAAAAAAAAAACCTCAATAATTTGCGATCTGTGAAATAAAATCATCAAAGGATACAGGAACATAGTTGAAGCCACCACCTTTCTAAATACAGTGGTTGGTATATGCTCAATGCAAGTTGGGATAACACGCATATAAAATAAGATCCGAGCAGTCTGCACATCATCAGTTAACCATGTGTGATGCAGTTTCAGCCCTACAATAAAAAAGTCATCTAATCGTTAAGGCAAACACATGCTGATAGTTCAAATGATATACCTAAAGCAGACACAAGACAGCATACTTGTCAAATCATTGTAAGATGGCATGGATTCTACAAATGCTACGCAAGCTGACTCGCTCTCCTGAACACTTACTACTGCTGTTCTGATTGCCTCCATATACTCAGGCAATCGTATCCTCCGGAAATATTCCATACAAGAAAAGGAGACTAATATCCTTACTGAAATTTTCAAGTTAGCATCTGGGTTCAGTTTAGGGCTTAACCTATACTTTGCAACTGCTAGTGCAAAAAGTACAACCATCAGAAAAGCTGATTCAGCAATTTTCTCCAAATCCTCGAGTAGCTGAGTTTTGATGTCTCGAAGAACCAAAGCAACATCTCGATGCTTAAAGTAGATGTCCTGACAATACTCCCAAATAAGGTCCTCTATAATATTCTTGCTTTCAGCATCGGCTGCAATGTATTGGTTGCAAAAAGCTCCAGTCATTGCTCCTGCTTCCTTAAAACTGACACTGGACAGATGTTGTTGAACATCAGAAAGCAATGAACCCTCATTAATATGAGCAGGTGATGCGAGTATCTTCTCATAGATCTGGCGTAAAGGGAAAACTTCACCCAATAAAGCAAAAGCAAGGCAAAGAGCCAGAGAAGCAGAATTTGAAATAGAACCACTTCGAGCTGTAGCTACGCATAAGCATTGTGAGAGAAAACTATCTTTAGATTCGATCACTGAATAATTGACACTTCTAATTCTAGATACCAATTGTCTTGCTACCGTTTCAATCAGCTTCTCTGCTGATTTCCTTAAATCCATGAAACCATTTGACCCAGATCTATTGATAAACCTCAGCACACCAGCAGCAGCCATGAGCAAAGCAAATAAAGAATAAGATTGCTTGCTGCAACCCAACACCTCACTTTGAAGAAGATTTACTTTATCATTAGCCTGTGAACTTACGTAATTAGACAGAACCCATTCAATCAAGTGAAGTATCATGAGCCCGTTAGACACACTAACACAAGGACCATCCTTTTTCTCCCACATCTCGAATAGAAAGTCCAGAAGTCTCACAAAATAAATCTTCCCAGATGAAGATAAGGCATAACCAATACCGGCAAGAACATAGGGCATATGTCCTCCAGACAAGCCAATCAGATGATATTCTTCATCAAGTCGTTTGCAAAGTAACTCCAAGCAGACAGTTCTTGATTTTTCAGATACATGTGGTATGAAAGAAATAGCACCTAGAAGGACAATGCCTTCCGAAAAGAAAAGTAAATTTTTCCGCCCTTTAAATCTCTCCGAAAAAAGGCGAGTGAGAACCTCCACCACGGAGTCAATAATCAAAGATGACTGTCTCGAAGATTTCCTGACCCAAATGTATAGAAGCCTGAAAAAGAGAGGGTATGACTCTTCCGGAAGAGACACATCAGATAATGATAGAATTGACACTAGAAGCTTTGCATGGGGATCTGCAACATGAAGGACACTCTGTGAGTCACAAAGGATCTTCAAGAACTGCAGGTGGTGATGATCAAATGACTGTGATTTAAGCGCGTCCCTAATATCATTCCATGCTCGGATGATGACTCTGGATGACGGTGAAGAAGCAACTCTTGATCTGATACTGTCATCAACCACACTGTTTTGTACCAACCACTCCTCAAGGAAAATGACACGACCTCGATTTTCCATCACACTGGTCTTAACAATAGAAACAAATTTGCTGTATCTTCATAACAGTTGGTACAAATAATCGGCTATATACGACCTAAGCCAACAAAAACAGCATATTTCTAGTCATAATAGGAAAAATGAAAAGTATGAGGCACATGACACTTTTCCAAAAGCAAGCAATCAAATCACAAGAGAAGAGGATATACTTAAAGGAAACTCAGAATCAATTGTTGAGATTTGAAAATTGAAATGCTGAAAGCAAAATAAACGACATAATCCCAAAAAGTAAAGAAGCAATTTGAACCAATCCCAAAACCAACATAAATCACAAACTAATGTAAAACCTGCAATGAAGCAATAACTTCCGAATTTCTCCAGAATTCAAACTTCAACCATCTTAATTTTTTAAATTTTATCAATCATTAGGCGAGTACTAACATTCAATTCAAGCATAAACATACACGCAAAGCAGCTTCAAGATAAAAAAAAAAAATTATCAAAATTCAAGTTTAAGAGCTTTAGTCAAAGAAACGAACACCGGAGGTGGGTCTTACCGGAGAGGGTCCCAGTTGCTATCTCCGACCACCGTAGCAACCAGGGGCCTGACGATGCTGGGACTCCGGGAAAACAAGCTCACGACTTTCGAGGATTGGTAACTTGGATAATCAAGGTAATCTAAAATGAGAGCGTCAAAATTTTACTGTAGGTGGAAAGGAACGGACCGAGGAGCTCCTAAAAATAACTCATTTTCCCTGGTTATTTTAAATAAACCGAAATTTCCTTGCATTTCTAAAATTTTTTTTTTAAGGGTATCTGTTATAGGTATTATAATTTGAGACACCTAAACTATACACAGGATCTACAGATACCCTGGTACTATACTATAACTATAACTCCTGTGCAAGATTATTACACGGATCTACAACTACCCTGATACTATACGACAACTACAAATTTGAGACACTTGAACTATTACACAAGATCTACAACTACCCTGGTACTATACTATAACTAGAACTCCTGTGCAAGATTATTACACAGGATCTACAACTACCCTGATATTATACTACAACTACAACTGTTGTGCAATCCTTCTATTGGTGGTCAAAGATGTGCAAATCTACTACTTGCTGCTATTCGTGCGCTTTGCTCCATTCATTGGCATAATTGCTTCGGGGGTCTGCTGCGCCAACCAACCAAATTAGACTTCAACTAATTTTCTTCGGGGAATCGGTACCTCTATGAAGTACTTCGGGGGTCTGCTGCGCCAGCCAACCAAACTGGACTTCACCTGCATTTTCTTCGGGGAATCAGTACCTCTATGGAGTGAGGAGGTGACTAGGCTTTGTCACAATACTCCCTGCAGTAAAAATAATTTAAAGTGCCCATAGTGTAACCTGAACCTGTGACTTTCAGGTTGATGGGTTTATCCTTATCTACTAGGACAACCCATGATTCACTTGTATATCTAAATTAAACAAAATACTAATCCGTACACATGCTTCTATGTTCTGGAAATTTTCCACCAACAAAATATAATAATCACATTATGCGTTACTATAAGTCTTGAATCTATTGAGTCTATTCTAGTTCAACAAATACAGATTTAATTTTTACAGGTGAAAGGAAAAAGATTTTATGTCTCTTTTCTTTTTTGAAAACTACTAAGAAGGGATATTCAACTATTTAGAGCATGAACAATGACTAACCCATTTTGACTGAATTTATCAGCGTCACATCAGACTTTTAAACCATATTTCCACCTTGATTTTTTTTTCACAATGGCTACACGTTTCTTTTGGGTCCGAGGCTTCTTTTCATTCTTTTTACTTCTTGTGTTTTAACACAGATAAGGGGCCACATGTCATAACAGTGGGCCAAAAATTACGGTTTGCTACACTATCCATTCAGCAACCCTTAACTTTTTGCATTGGTTGAATTGTAAAAAGCTGACACTACACCCTCCGTTGTGATTACTCTTAAGATATTTATAATGTTTACACATTTTATCAATCCATTACGGTTTTTAAAAGGGGATGATGACCTTAAGTATCACTTAATTCACTCTTAGAGCATACTCAATGCCCATACGTAAAATGTGGTCTCAAGTCTCCACCAAGTAAAAGGGTTTTTTGCCCAATGCCAATTATAGTAACAAGGAAGCGCCTGATTCCACGTTTTTTTTTTGTCTTTTTGAGTAAGAAAGAGAAGTGACTGCAGAACGAACGCGTGGTTTCCTTTAAATGATTTGCAATGGCAAAGTATTGGTTGGCATATAACTAGCACACATTTCAAGCGTCACTTGTTATACATTGTGATTGCATTATCCTATAGAGGTACCAACCTTAGAGCAAGTATAGTGGAAGTAAGTGGCCCCAAAACACATGCCACTTACTTCTACGGTGATTGGAGAGAGTTGAGAGCAATCTCAATGGACACAAGTAAAAAAGTGATCCCAATTGAGTCCAGCTCAATTTTTCTGATACATTCAAGTAAAATGATTTTTTGCTCCGGTGCTAGTTTACTAATTTGGTAAGAACATGAACTTCTGGCCCACCACGTACAGCACTGTACAAGCTTTGTTTTTTAAAAGTATGTCTTAGCCCCATTCTTTTTTACTTTTTTCAGTGGAGAGAGAATAAACAACAGAGTTAACGAGTATTTTTTTTCACACGGTTTGCTATGAAAAAGTTCTGATTGGCCAATAATTGGCACTACTTTCAAGAGCCAATTACTCTGCATTGGGGTTACTCTAATTCATTCTTGTCTGTGTCATTTATATTTACTTGACAACTCTTACAAAAATAGGGTGGATGTGAACCATTTATGATGTACCAAAAGTTTTGTGATATAAAACTGAAATGTGGACAAATGTGGGGAGGGAATAAGGGTGCAGTAAAGTTGGTCTACATTATTTACTATTTTTAGTAAATTTATTGACGGAGATAAATAGTAAATATGGTGGGGTTTCATGTGGTGACTTGGACGGGAGAACCTCACTCTTTACCCTCTTCCACTATGCTTTTTCTTATAGTCTATAGGTTGCAACTAATAGACTTAGAGCAGCCTCAATACCCCTACACTATACTTACTCTTATAGTCTATAGATTGCAACTAGTAAACTTAGAACATCCTCAATGTCCTTACGTAAAATGTATTCTCAAGTTTTTCCACCTCAGTATGTCTGACATTAACAAGTATGTATAGTTTCCTTTAAATAGTTTACAATGGTAAAACATTGATTGGTCGTTAATTGCACACATTTCAAGCGCCAGTTATTGTCCATTGTGATTGCTCTATAAAACTATTGTCCATTGTGATGGGTGATGAACTTGATGTAGCTCGTGCTTTCATCCAACCACAATTGAATTCATTGGCTTTTACCTGAAACCGTGAAATCTGGCTATGTCTGGATGGTACTTTTTTGGTAAAATTTTCATTAGAATGTAAAAGAAAGTGTTGGAATCATCCACCGTTAAGATACTTCAAAATCAAAAAATGAAGAATCTCCAAGAGTAGAAGTTCTGGCACCCATTTCGGAATATAATAACTCTAAAACACAAGCAATTCTGAAACACTCCGGGTGTGTCCTATCTCCTGAAAGAAATATGTGACTGCTGTTCTTGGACTCAATCCAACTACATCCAGGTTGCTTCTTTACCCCCTCGTCTTTCATCCGGACCCACATTTTCTCGGCGTCTCTTCTTCTCCCGTCAGACAGAAACATTTCGGCTAACATCATGTACATGCCAGAGTTGGATGGCTCTAATTCCAACATCCTCTCCCCGGCAACCTCACCAACTTTCAAGTTCTTATGCATTCTACAGGCTCCAAGCAATGCTCCCCAAACACTTGCTGGCACCTCGAATCCATCTGCTTTCATTTGATCCAAAATATGCAGGGCATCATCTATAAGACCGAATCTACCCAACAGATCAACCACACAAGTGTAATGCTCGGCCAGGGGAAGCAGAGAGTAATCATTTTTCATGGCGTGGAAGTAGCTTTTACCTTGTTCGACCAGTCCTGCATGGCTACAGGCAGACAGTACACCAACAAAAGTTACTTGGTTGGCTTTCACGTCTGTCAATCTCATGTTCTCAAACATAGCCAAGGACTTTTCAGCTTTACCATGGTAAGCTGATCCGCAGATTATGGAGTTCCACGATATGATATCATGACACGACATTACAGAGAACTGAAAGAATGCAGACTCCATGCTTCCACATCTAAAATACATGTTGATTATTGCGTTACCTACCGGAGTAAAATCATCTAGTCCAGCTTTGATGGCAAGTGCATGGGTCTGATTACCAAGATTTAAAGATGCCATACTTGAACATACAACAAAAACACTAGTAAATGTAGCTTCATCTGGCTTATTACCTTCTTGGATCATCCTAATAAACAATCTTGCACCATCTTCCATGAGATCATTTTCTCCTAGGCCAAATATTGTAGCATTCCAGGCTGTTGTATCACGAATGGGCATCGATTCAAAAAGCTTGATGGAATTCTTGACCTCCCCTAATTCAAAGTAACCGATGATCACATTTGTCCATGCTACTGCATCACTAAGACAGTATTTCTCCAGAAACGCATGAGCCTCTCTTACTAATCCATTTCTTATCAAACACAACAAGATTAGATTCCAGAGCCTCTCATGTTTTTGAGGCATCTCATGGAACAACTTCATAGCATCAGTTACCTTACCAGCACTGACCAACCCATTAATAATTTCGTTCCAGCAACTAGAATCCTTGTTAGGCATCTTGTGAAACAAAGCTTCTGCAATTTCAATGTATCCATTATCTAAATATCCAACCATCATTGTCTCCCAAGCTTGAACATCCCTCACTGGCATACTATCAAAATACTGCCTCGCTTCAACGATACGCCCCACATTAAGAAGCCCCTTTATCATAATTGTCCAGGATGCTACATCTGGAGCAGTGATTTCCTTAAAGTAATGTTCAGCCAAATCAACCTCCTTGATCTTCATCAATCCAGCAATCACTAAATTCCACGAAACTACATCTTTCTCAGGCATCTCATTAAACACCCGGACCGCATCATCCATCATCCCGTGATTTACATACCCAGAAATCATGGTGTTCCAAGTCACAACATCTCTATCTCCCATACATTCAAACACCTTTTCAGCTCCTTTGACATCCCCGCAATGCATGAGACCAGAAATCATGGTATTATACGAAAATATATCACGAACAGGCATTCGATTATAAAAATTTATCGCTTTATCGGAAATCCCATTTTGGAAATATCCTCTAACCATGGCATTCCAAGTAACCGTATTTCTGTGAGGCATTTCGTCGAACATGATTTCGGCTGCTTCAACAAGGCCATTTCTCATGTAGTTTGATAGCTTCGAGTTGAAGGGCTTTAAGTTGGACAACGTTGATACAAATTGAACCCCAAAAATTGATTTCGGAGGGACATTTTGAGTGAGTTTGAGAGTTCGGCAACTGAAAAACATAGCCCATCACTGTCCACTGCAAATCTTTCTTGGAGTCAGAAAACAGACGACAGAGAATGAGAGAACTCTTTGTTAATAAATAGTACTAGAGAGGTTACGTTAAGGCGGTAAATTAATGAGAATTGAAATAACGCTTTCTGAAGTTTGGTTTTGAAGGCGCTGCCTAGAGGACCACGCTTTATAAATTCATTGGACGAAGCCGTAAAAATTCTCTACATTAATCGCCATAAAACATTAAAACAAAAAAATCGATGAAAACAAGAACAAGAAAGCCATTTTAAAAAGAATCACGGATGAAATCTTTTTGGAAATAGATTTTAAAGGGAAAGAAAAGGCAAACTTAATTAACTTCTAACTTTTTTTACTGAACATTGTATATATTTTTATAGTAAGTCAATTTTTAAAATAGTTTTTGAAAAATTCACCTCAATTGACCCCACTTAAATGTGATCTTAATAATTTTTTTAGTAAATAAATTAAATTAAAATTAAATTCATTCCTATTTCTTGTGACTTTTATTTTTTGCTGAGTTATAATTTACATACTCTGGTTGAATGGTAATGCATCACCTAAGTCAAAATGGAAATTATATTTTTCAGCGTTTTATTGCAACTAGTTATATTATTGGACGTGCTATTTATCACACTACTAGGAGCATGAAGCAATAGTCATGAGATAATTTTAAAAAATTAATCAAGACTAGTGACAATTTTTATATTTAACCATCTGTAAACATAATGTAATAGTTATACTTATTGTTTAATACTACAAAGAATAGTACAAACATCACCATCCACTTCAATTTTAGACTTGCAAAACAAGTTTATTTCTGTATTTGGGTATACTTTTCTGGCATAGCATTTGCTTTCTTTTTCAACGCACTAAAGTTCAAATCTCCCACTTATTTCTCTAGCATTTTTTTAGGCAACGTTGGAAATCCATGAAAGGCGAGTAAATTCGCGGCCACTATAATAACCACAGTCGGTAGTTGGTGATATTTAGGTAAGTTTTGGGGGTCGGATTAACATGTGAAATTATAATACGAAAAACATTTGTAGTGTTAAAAAAAAAAATTAAAGGTATCCAAAAGTCAAGCAAGAGCCAACCTATTGTCATTAAATAAGAAGGAACCACTATACTCTTTTTTTTTTTTCTTTTTCTTTTCTTTTTTTTTTATGAAGTGTAAATTTCATTTTACTGTGAAAAACTGAGTATGTACATCACTGTGAACTATGACGACTCTTTTAATCTATTACACCAAGCTTCATCACCACTAACTTGTCTACAAAAATTTAGAATTTTCCAGGTAATCTCCATTTTTTCTTAATCAGAACCAGGATGATACCTAGCGGGCATTCTCCCGATTTTATTAATATAAAAAGAAAGAGTACAAGAGGCAGTGCTTAAAACTTACTCAAAGATAAGAACCGTCTTACAATGATTTTCTAGAATCCTATGATGGTTCTGGTATAAGTCAACGCTACGAACTGTCTTATAAAGATTCGTACTACGATCCCTTGATAGTTCTATTTTTAACTCAAAAGTAAATGAAACTATTTTAAGAGTTTATTTTACATAGATCCTACTAGAATCTCTTAACAGCTCTTTTAACTCCAAAGGTAATCTCCATTTTTATCTTTACAAATCTTTCATATACTGGCAAACTCCCTACTATTTCGTTCCATTCATGTGTGATAGATAGCAGTTGCAATTCCATCATACAAGATTTTCTTTTTCATCGTCTTAAATCTTCATGTCTTTAATAACCTTGGTACTCCTCCCCTCAGTTTGGACTGTGGCAATTTTATTTGCATATGAACAATTCCCTTAGCAGATCTTGTGAGTAGGAACAACAAAAGAAGAGGTGATCTATATCTTCAACAGGTCCATTACACAAGTCACATACCATTGATCCTGAAACCAAATTCATATTGGGTAACCTGTCAAGTGTCCACAATCTGCGTTTGAATGCTAACCAGCTTAGAAAGCTGTGCTTAGGCAAACCATAGGAACCACTATACTCTTCACACTTTTTTTACTGGCTTCATATACATACATCAGTTTCATCATTTAAAGACCTTTTTAATAATTTACTTACTCATTACGGAAGTGTTTTTGATACTAACCCAAAAAAGACATATCTATTTATTCAACTGTTAATAAAAAAATTATAGGTTCCATGGCTTACGTGGTCGGTTGACTTCTTGTCTTTTTTTTTTCCTTTGGAGAACTTCCCACACATCATGCTAATCAAGGCAACAATTTGTGAAAAAGTTATGAAAAGGTTTCGTGAAAGGTTTTTTAGGAGTATACATGTTTTTTCGACACTTTTTTGCTGACTTCATATATATATATATCAAGTTACTCTTTAGGAGTATACATGTTTTTTTAGGAGTGTACATGTTTTTTCGACACTTTTAATAATTTACTTATTCATTGAGAGACTTTTTTTAAAAAAAAATTCAAATGATAAAGATATTTTAAGAAATCAAGTTAATCTCAAAAGTGTTTTTGATATTAACCCAGAAAATGTACTCCCTCCGTCCTACAAAAATAGTCCAGTTTCAAAATGTACAAATTTTTTAAGTTGGTCAATCTACTTAAGGTACACTTCCGCAAACCCACGAGTCAACGCTCAAGTGGGAGAATATAAAATCACCACAGGCCACCTCCGGCCCAAAACATTACCACAGGCCCAGACCGCTCTAATACCATGTGAAGAAAGTATGAAGTTGAAGTGGCCGGCATGTAAATCCGAATGCCGTAAAACCGTATAAATTAGAGTTTATACAGTAACACACTTATATAATACAACAAGGCCATAAAACGGAAACTATGAACCGTAAAATACAACATTACTATTTACATCCGTATTACCACCACGTCCTCGTCGGTGGTTATGGTGTCGTATACGATGTACGTCAACCAGAATATCTCCGTCGGCACCGGCGGAGGCGGCGGCAGCGGCGGCGGCGGCTGTTCGAGAGTCTTCGTGAGGACCGGGTTCGGAAAGGGGAGTCTCCGGCGAATCCTGTTGAGAAGGACGCACTTGAAGGTTGCCCTAGAAGGGGAGACAACAACCCAAACGGCTTCGCCAGCGAAACATCATTATTGGGAAACAAGCAATGATATTCATCGCCGTCATCAATATATGACATCATCGGGGCAGTATCCTCTGGTGAAATGATGCTCAAGGAGAAGAAGAATTCTTACATCAATGAAATTGATTATCACAACATGAACGACAACCGTATACAGCAAATTCATATCTGTGTCGGTAAAGTTTTGGCAAAATTCTTCTTGGACGACAAGATGATGTTTGCGGTCGCCGGATTCGGAACCGTGGCGGAGATTCTCAAGGAAGAAATCGAGTAAAAAACGGCTGGTTTTGGGTTGGGGGTAATAATTAATAACATTAATTTAGTTGTAAGGGTAATTCCATATTTTACTTCAAATTTTATTTTGACTTTTTGAAACTGGACTATTTTTTTGGACAACATTTTTTTATCAAAGCGGACTATTTTTGTGAGACGGGGGAGTAATATATATTCATTCGACAATAAATAAAAGAAATTATAGGTTTCATGGCTTACGTGGTCGGTTGACATTTTTTTTCTCTTATTGTTTTTTCTTTGGAGAACTTCTCGCACATGAGTTACTCAATTCTGCAACAATTTGTGCAAACTTTATGGATTTTAATAAAAATGTTATATATGAAAAATGTACACCGTCGTTAATCTATACAAAATGTAGGTTTACTAAGGGAACTGGAAGCAGACCTCTCAATTTTTTTTTTTTTATAATTAGTAAAGATAATTTTTCATTTTAGTGAAAGTTAAAATATGCGTTTGATTATTTCTGGCATAAATCTTTATACCAATTTTCTATTACACTCTGTATTATACTAGTCAATAACTTTGTATAAATATTGTTGCTTGCTTTAATATATACACCATTCACAATTATTTTTAAAGTTATATAGTTTGAAACTAAGAATTCACTTTTTTCCGAGCTAGGATCTATTTATTTTAATTTTTTTAGTTAAAAGATTCAATAAAAATGGTTATATTTCATAAAAACATAACATTAATCCAAAAATAAAATTGAAAATGAAAATAATCTAAGAGAAAAATATGTGTTTATGATATAGGTATTAAAACAAATTATATAATATATAAAAAATAATTAAATCTTATATCAGAGAGTGTAACACGAAAGTATCAAAGAGTATCAAGTCTCCCAAAAACATAAAGTCCTCTATGCCATTTTGAGAAATGAGAAATTTCGACATTAGGGGAATTCGAACCAACATATAAACGACTATGGTTGATAAATTTGGTGTGCCGGAATATGACTACCATGTTATTTGTATTGAGTTATTATATAAGTATAAACATAATGTCTGAGTATATGTAAATGGTAGAACAATATATATTCTAAAGAAGTGAGATAAAATCTAGAGAAACAATATGTTGCATTGAACTAAGAAACCTAGAATCGCATCTAATATATTGATACTTACACATTGAATATGACGAGCTAAATGATTCAAGGAACGGTGCCACACAAATGACAAGACTTGTTAGTAGTTGAGTTTCATAAATTGAGAAATATGTACACTAAATAATATTTATGTTTAGTCATCCTTCAATTCATGTTCATTTATTGAAGACACATTATTTTCTGCGTTTGAATTATAAGAGCAACCGCATTGTAACTAACATTGAAAGTTGAGCCAATTAACACAATTTTTTACTCCAAACCATTGCTGGAGGATATTTTACATATATGTGTTCATCTGCGTTTTACGTGACTTTTCTGAAAAGGAGGGCCAAAAGTGAGCCAATTAACACAAAATATGTGCAACTGATAACTCTTAATGGGACGAGTTAATTGGTAAGGCTTTGCTTGGCCAACCTTCTATTGTGCATTTTGTCTCATTTTACCTCTTAAACACAAAATTCAATGGAAAAGAAAACATCATCCAAACAACTTTCTGATTTACATTTTAAATTCTAACTTGAAACACTTTTTGTTAGTGTAATGACCATTTTAAAACTACGAATAGTTCAGTGACAAATTTGGCAGGATTC